GGGCAGCAGCATGGTGTGTGCCAGGATTTGTAGTTCTTTCCTTTTTTTTTTCTTAATTAATTTTTTTTTATTGGATAGTGTGGGTATTTCAACCTTGCTCCTCTTTTTCAAAGTTGTTTTGACTATTCTATGTCCTTTGCATTTCCATATAAGTTTTACAATCAGCTTTTCAATTTCTGCAAAAAAAACCTTTACTGGAATTTGGGGTGGGATTACATTTAATCTATAAATCAATTTGATGAGAATCAACATCTTACTAATATTGAGTCCTCTAATCCATGAATAAAGTATATCTTTTATTTAAGTTTAATTTCTCTTAGCATGTTCTGTAGTCATCACTATGCCAGTCTTGCATATTTTTTTGTCAAATTTATCCTTATGCATTTCCTATTTTTTGGTGCTATTGTAAATGGCATTTTTTAAAACTTCAATTTCTAATTGATCATTGCTAGGATATAGAAACAGAACTGATTTTTGTATATTGACTTTGTTTCTGCAACCTTAATTTTTGGTTTTGGTTTTTTTGTAGATTCCATAGTATTATTTGTATAATTGATTATATCATCGGTGGGTAAAGACAATTTTAATTCTTTCTTTCTAATTTGTATGCTTTTTTATTTCTTGTTTGATTCCATTGCTAGAATTTCTAGTGCAATGTTGAATATAAGTGGTGAGAGTAGACATCCTTGCCTTGTTTCTAATCTTAGGATTAAAGTAGCTTTTTACCACTAAATATGATGTCAGCTGTAGGTTTTTCATATGTGCCCTTCATTGGGTTGAAAAGTTCCCTTATATTCCTAGATTCCTGAGAGTCTTTATAAGGAATGGATGTTGGATTTTGGTCAAATGCTTTTTTTGTATTTCTTTTAACTGTTCTTTTTTAGTCTGTTAACATGGTAAATTATACTGATTGATTTTTAAATGTTAAATCAATCTTGCATTCCTGGGATAGATCCCAATTGGTCATGATGTATTGTCCTTTTTTTATATGTTGTGCTGTATCACTATTATATATTATTAAGAATTTTCAAATCTGTGTTCATGAAGGATATTGGTTTGTAGTTTTCTTTTCTTACAATGTTTTTGGTTTTGTTCCTGAAAAGAATTTTCTTAGAGAATAGATTTTATGATAGAACAGCATGTTTTTGAAGAGTTTGTGTAGAATACTATTCTTTCTTCCTTAAATGTTTGGTAGAATTCAGCAATGAAGATATCTTTGTGGAGTTTTCTTTGTAAAAGGGTTTATTTATTTATTTATTTGGGGGATGTGTGTGATTTTTTTCTGATACTTTATAATTAGAAGTTGAAACAGTTTTACAATTAACATTCATATACTCACCCCCAGCTATATTTTGCTATGTTTGCTTTTTCACGTATCTATCCATTTATCTTCTCCTTTCTCTGTGCATCAGTCTACCTATTATTGATGCATTTAAAAAAGTATCTGAGTATGATTTATTATTGGCTAAATATTAATTCTTAATAAATAATGACAGGGAGACTTTTTACAGTGATGAATGCATCAGAAATCATTGAGAGATTTAGAAGATGTATACTTCCAAAGAATTCTGATGGCAACTCAAATATATGAAAGTTTCACGATGCATTTAACATGGCAGTCAATATAGGCATGTCTCCAGAAAAATCTCTTATATAAGTCATTCAAATATTTGAGTACTTTTAACGTATGCCAAGAATATTAAACTCAAGGAAATATAAAACACATATTACAATAGTTTGGTTTTCTTCCAGGGCAGTGAACTTGCATGCTTAAAAAAAAAAACATAGCATTTTTAGACAGTGGCAGATTAGAATGATTCAGTGCGGTATCTTCTCAATGAAATTTGTGTTTTCTTTTTTTACAAAATGTATTTTTTTAAAAAATCATTTCTTTCATTTCACAAATATTCTTCAATTATGTATTAGGTTCCAAGATTTGTATTACTAAATATAATTTGGAGTAAATTTTTCCACAATAATAGTATACCAACTGTGGTGAATGGCAAATGTTAAGAAAACTCCTTGACAGTTGTGACCTGAGAATACAACTACTAACAAATCCTATTTCTCTGGACAGTGTATTCATTTTACAAAACACTTTGGCTAGCTACTATTTGCTGTCTTTTTATACTGGAAAAAATGGCTATTCCAACAGCTGCACCTTAAATAATTCTCTTTCCTTTTGTAATGAGCTTAGTCTGAAGTGTATGGTTGTTTCAAAATAATTTATAGACAACAGAACACTTTACTTCTAAACACATTCGCATGCATTATTTAGGAGTTTAATATTTTTTATAGTTCTATTTTATTTCTTGACGTCAAATTTAAATATAGTTAAGTGTACCATTCAATGAATTTTGACAAACATGTATACTTGTGCATCTCAGATCCCTTTTAAGATATAGGTTATTACCATTATTTGGAAAGTTCTCCCATACTTCTTGTCAGACAATCCCAACCCATACCTCCATAGGCAAGTACTGTTCTGACTTTCTTCCATAAACTAATTTTGCTTTTTTAATAACTTCATATAAATGTACTCCTGTAGTGCGTGTGTGTGTGTGTGGTCTTTCACTTGGCAGCTGGCTAGTATGGGAATTTGAACCCTTGACCTTGGTGTTAAAATACCACACTCTAACCAACTAAAATTTTTTAGATTACTCTATATTGTTTCCTATGTTAGTAGTTCTGTCTTTTTAATACTTTGTAGTACAACTTAATTTCATTGAGGTCAGAGAATATGTTCTATGTGATGCCATCCTTTTGCCTTATGCCCTACTTAATGGTCAGTTTTCATAAATGTCCTTGTTCCTGAAAAGAATGGGTATTCTTTTTTCATTGGTTTTATGTTTCTGTATCCGTCCTTTCAGTCAACCTAGTTATGTTGTTTCTTTCTTTTTAATTTAAAAAAAAAAATCTGTTGGCTCATATTTTTACTCTTGTAATTCGTATTTTAAAGTGATTTTTACATTTAAGTATAACAAAATAGATTTCTTGTTGTGTACAGCTTTATGGGTTTGGACAAATGTGTAAATGTGATTGGGTCTCCACACCACAGTCAAGATGCACAACAGTTCCATCAACCCCCAAAATACCGTCTTGTTGCCCTGTTAGTTACCAGCCCTTCCCTGTTCTTCTGTCAGTGGAAATCACTGAGTTGTTTTTCATCTCTACAGTTTTGCCTTTTCCTAAGTGTCATATAAATCATACAGCTTTTAGCCTTTTGAATATGACTTATTTTACTTAGCAAAATGCGTAGAGATTTATCTATGTTGTTGCATGTATTAATAGTTGTTCTTTTTTATTCTTGAGTATTATTCCGTTGTATGACTGTACCATAGTTTGTTTCTCAGTTCACTGGTTGAAGGACATTTGGGTTGTTTCCATTAGGAATAAAACTGCTGTAAACATTTGCATACAGGTTTTTGTATGAACCTAAGTTTTTATTTCTTTTGGGCAAATATCTGGGAGTGTTGGGTTTTATGTAAGTGTAGCATTAACTTCATATGATGCTGGAGGTTTTAAATTATAGATTCTATATCTTTAATTCTGCTCAGGTTATCAATTTCTTCTCGAGTGAGCGCTGATAGTTTTTGTCTTTCAAATAATGTTTCAGTTTCATCTGTTGAATTTATAGGCATACAGTTCTTCCATAGTTCAGCAGATTATCTTTTTAATTTCTGTGCAATCAGTGGTAAAGTTGCCTCTCTCCTTCTTGATATTTGAAATTTGTGTCCTCTTTCTTTTTGATTACTTTGGCTAAAGGTTTACCAATTTTATGATCTTCTCAAAGAACCAGCTTTTTAGTTTCATTGATTTTTCTCTATTGATTTTCTGCTTAGTTGACTTTCATTCTGATCTTCATTATTTCCATTCTTCTGCTTACTTTGGGTTTAATATAATGCAGAAAAAATTGTTTTCCTCTCTGGAAGTAAATTGACAAATTTCAAAATCCTGTACTAAATCCAGTTTGTGAGTGTATGTATGTTATTTAGGAGAAAACAGAAGACTTTGCTAATAGCAAGATTTTGGAGAGAATGAAATTGTGGTATTGTTTTTAATTATTACAAGGACACAGGATTTTCTTTTTGTTTTGAATTATTGGCTTTTCTGCCTGTTCATCTGACTCTCTTTCAAATTCTGAATGAAGTATTTGGAATTCCCATGACAAGCCCTACGAAATTTACCATACATAGAGCCATCAGTGTTTATGTTATGTGGCATCATTTATGTGGGGCAAAATGCTGTACTGGGGAATAAATTTTATTTTTGTCTGTAATCTTAGCAATTATTTAACCAAAAGGACTATATAATTTTTACTTGAATTCAAGAATATGCAATATTTAAATACCCAAGTCTTCCCACATGAGTAACCTCTAACTAAGGTATAAGGCAGTTCTGGAGTTGTTTTCATTTGGTGTGCTTTGATATATTGGGGTATAAGAATTTGATATATTGGGGTGTAAAAATTTCAGTAGTGGATGGAGTGGAATTTTATTTTATATTTTGGTTGTTATCCAAAATGTGAATTAAAGGGCCGAGCCTGTGGTGCACTCGGGAGAGTGCGGCGCTGGGAGCGCAGGAGCACTCCTGCCGCGGGTTCGGATCCTATATAGGGATGACCGGTGCGCTCACAGCACTCACTGGCTGAGCGCGGTGCAGCCGGTCTCAAAAAGGACAAAAAAAAAAAAAAAAAAAAAGAACAAAATGTGAATTAAAGTTAAGGAAATAGGTTGCTCTACTATTTGAGCAATTCTGTTTAAATATTAAAGCAGATTTGTTTTCTTCTGTGAATGAAGGAATTTTATTTTTGAGACATGACATTGTCTTAAAATCAGTTTCAGTTTCTTTTTTAAATGCTCATTTCTTTTGTAGTCTTCAATAAGAAATACAGGTGTTATTAGAATTGGAATATTGATGAGGGATGTGGTATTTATAGAACTACAAGAACATCTTTTGTTTACTTTTCTAATTGCTTGATGATATATTTTGTGTTTTAGATCCTGTTTGACCAAACTCAGAGATCAATTAAGGCACAGCTTCAGAACTTTGTTAAAGAGTAAGTATTGCAATGAAAAGGAAAGAAAAGCAACCAGTTAATGAATACATCTGGGAATTGGTATCTTTTGAAAGAAATTATGGATCATGAATTACTGAAAATATTGGAGTTTTTGTTTGTTTGCTTTGTGAAATGTATACTGCATTTCTTCCTGGCTTACTCTGTAAGGGAATCAGATTTTATGTCTTTCAATGAATCATTTATACCATGAATATGCATTCAGGATACATAGCTAGGGTTGTTATAGTTAAAAAAAAATTTTTTTAAATGTAGATAAATAATCTAGTGGCCTTTCAAAATCAAAGCAAATCCCAAAAGTGGTTGAAATACTATCGTTATTGTATTTGAAACTAAGTTTTCCATTGTCTCAATGTAGTATTTTCTTTGAGGAGAAGATAATAGAATATATGAGAATGAGTCATGTAATGCATAAGCCTTTTGTGTCACATTCATCGCATTTTATATGTGAAATAAAATAGAACTAGAAGTTAAAAAAAAATCTGAACTTTCCAAGTTAGGAAAGTTTTCCTTTTCACATTAATAAGTCAGTTTTTCTCTTTTAATTCCTGACTGAGAATATATAAAATAACAGATTAAGTTTATTATGGTACACAGTATTCAGGACAAATTATAGACATAAGCTGTAAATAGTGTCAGATCTCATTAACACCTACACTGCTGTTCTACCGGGTTGGAATTTGTTGTTTTGGAGGTGGTATCTCACATATTCTTTATAAATTACTTCATAATAGACTAACACTCAGTATACCCTCACAGAATGTACACATGAAAACTTATGGCTTCTTTCAAAGAATTTAAAAACTTTCTTAGGTATACTTTATTATAAGTTTTAAAAACCATTTGTTGTTTAATACCAAGGTCAAGGGTTCGGATCCCCATACTGGCCAGCTGCAAAAAAAAAAGAAAAAAAATTATTTGTCTTCAAGTTATTTTAAGTTATTTTGCCTAATTTCCTAGCAGAAGAAGTAAAAGCAAAGGGATGTTGTGTGACTCACCTAAGATCTTTACTCAATCAGATTCATTTTAGACTATGGAAGTGGTTTCAGATTTTCAGACTATTGAAAGGGAGGGGTACTGTTACCCTTTGCTGGTACAACAATTCTTTTAGAATATGTGTGTATGTGGTGTAAGACTTATTATATTCGTGCCCTTTGACCCAGTAATTCCCATCAATGAGAAATGAATATTGTTTCTTAAAATGTGATCTGTAGATCACCCATAGCAATAAAATCAAGGTTGTGTCTTAAAAAAGCCTAGATTTCTAGGATTTATCCCAAAGACTAATGAATTGTATTCTCTGGGAAAGGACCTTGGAATTTGCATTTTTTTCCCCTTTTTGTCTTTTTTCGTGACCGATAACGGGATCGCAACCCTTGGTGTCGCGCCCGTACTGCAACCGGCAACGGGATTGCAACCCTCGGTGTCGTGCCCGCACCGCGCTCAACCAGTGAGTGGACCGGTCTCCATATAGGATCCGAACCCTCGGCGGGAGCGCCGCTGCACTCCCAAGCGCCACACTCTACGAGTGCGCCACCGGGCCGGCCCGGAATTTGCATTTTTTAACAAGTGCCCTATGGTGGTTCTTATGTATATTACTGTTTAAAAAAAATTAACTTTGCCTTTTATGTTTCTGTAATGTTAATTTAGTAATTTGTTTTTACATCAAGTAAGATTAAAATAATGAGGGCTGGCCCGGTGGCGCACTGGAGAGTGCGCCGCTTGAGAGTGCGGCGGCGCTCCCGCCGAGGGTTCGGATCCCATGTGGCGACTGGTTCCCACTCACTGGTTGAGCGCGGTGCGGGCGCAACACCGAGGGTTGCGATCCCGTTGCCGGTCCCCGGTACGGGTGCGACACCGAGGGTTGCGATCCCGTTACCGGTCAGTAAAAAAGACAAAAAAGGAAAAAAAAAATAATGAAATGTTAGCTGGCCTTTAGTAGGATTTATATATAATTGAGAAGCAACATATAGTTCAGTTGGAAGAGCTAGTGAATGACAGTGCACAGTGAAACAAGTAAATGGAGGAATATAAGAATTACATTCTAAATGTTATTTTGATAAAATTTTTAATCAAGAATGTTTTACGAAAATTTCATTGTTTTTATTTTTTAGAGATCTTAGGAAATTCAAAGATGCCAAGAAGCAATTTGAAAAAGTCAGTGAAGAAAAAGAAAATGCATTAGTAAAAAATGCCCAAGTTCAAAGAAACAAACAGCACGAAGTTGAAGAAGCCACAAACATTCTGACAGCAACAAGAAAATGTTTTCGACACATAGCGCTTGACTATGTACTTCAGGTATATATTTTATTACATGTTTTCAAATAGTGCTTATCAAACAGGCTGTTACTTTTTTTTTGGTGTCTGTCTGGTATGGGGGTCCAAACCCTTGATCTTGGTGTTACACCATCATGCTCTAACCAACTGAGCTAATCAGCTAGCCGTGGTTATTACTTTTGAGTGATTGCACTAAAGAGAATTAATAATTTTATTTTCTTTGAGTTTAAAAATAAAACATGATCTTTTCTGGAAAATTTTTACCTGTTTGTATATCTTTTTGTGTATGTACATACACGTTTGTGGATGTGCATACGTTTGGTTCTGATTTCTTCCTCTTCTCAGTTAACATTGTAATTTCCCCCATTTTTAAATGTTTTAAAAATAATTTTTAATTGCTATATTTTATTCTGTGGATTTTCTGTGTTAATTTAATTAGTATTTGATTATCAGATATTTATGGTGTTGCCATAAACTACTGGCAGTAGTAAAAATATAATTTTCAATAATGGTAAGTGATAATAACATCTTTATATATAAACCCTTTGCCACATTTCTGATTATTTCTTTAAATTAGATTCTTAGAAATATGGCTCACCATACTGCCAAATGAAAAATAGATCTAGAGATTGTGTTTTCATATTTTTGTATTAGGTGTTGCTTTTAAAAACTGGAGATCTGTAATTGATAAGTTGCTTGGTGATCTTCTGGTCCTGTGTGTAATTGAAACTAACTTGAATGTGATAGATAGATTCCAGAGGAATTTGAGATACATGAAAAATGGAGGTATAATATATTTTTTCACATGCACATTATGTGTTCCTATGCATCATTGAGTTTGAAGCTTAAAAGCTTTAAGGCTTAGGGATTTATCTTGTCTAAATCTCCTTTCACAAAACAGCAGTGATGTCCTCAGAGACTGTTGACTTTATGATGATTAGAGTATTTCTTTTAAAAAAATGCATAGATAATCTCATGGTGAGTTAGTGATTAAAAACTACTCAGGTAACATTGCAAAACGGTGGAAAATGAATTTTGGACTGCATGATAGGTTAGCTTAGTTGGTTAGACAGTGGTGCTTATAACACCAAGATCCTAAACTGGCCAGCTGCCAAAAAAAAAAAAGAAGAAGAAAAAAAGAAAAGAAACTTTAAGATTTTTTCTAAGTTTCTGTTCAGTAAGTGAGAAATTTAATTTTATAAATTGAAGTAGACTCCATTTAGGGATAAAAGGCTTCTATAATGGAGTCGTCTGTATTTCCTATGTCCTGTTACTTACTTTACATGCATATCACTTCATGCTGTGGTGTAAGTACTCAACCTTCCTAACCCATTCCCACTAAAATGGCTCATGCAAAGGTCTTTCTTATTCATTAGACATATTTTAGTTGTTAACCAAATTGACTATTCTGTTTCACCAAAATGGTAGACTACACTCTCCTTCTTGATTCCTACTTTTGTCTCGATTTATCTGAAATCACTTTTACATCCTCCTCCTAACTTCTATTTCTTTCCAATTTCTGCCTTGGGCTTCTCTCCTTTGTCTGCCTGTTCAGTCTCCTTTTTAGGGTTTCATCTTTGGTTCTGTTCTTTTCTTACTTTATATTCTCTGACAATCTCATCATGCCCCTTGCTTGAATTGCCACCTATATATAGATGACAAAGTCTACTTTTCACAGGTACCTTATTTTCATTGTGTCTAAAACTGGAATCTGTCACATCACAGAAAGGCTCCTCTTTCTCTTTTGCCCTTATCTAACTGAAAGGCGTCACACCCTCTTACTCTTGCAGAAACCCCAAATGGGAGAATTATATCAGGTATTCTCCTCATTCTAAGCTACTATATGTTGTTACTAAAATGTCTTGAAAATTCCTTCTATGTGCCTCTTAACTATTTTATTTCCTCACCCTTGCTACAGCCCTAATCCAGTCTTACTCTTTCTTGTCTAGAGTGTTAAGATATTCTCATAAAATTGGTCTTTTTTGCATTGCTTTTACCTGCCCCACTATCAAATCATTCTCTGTTCTGTGGTCAGGGTTACTCAGACTTCTTCAGGCAGAATTAATCATTTTTGCCTCTGCCTTCTCTGTGTTGCCATATTTTCACACATATTGTAGTTAGACCACTTGTCACATTTATTGTAAATATTTATTAATATGTCTTTTCTATTCCTAGATTGTATCCCTAGCCTCTAGTCCAGTGGTTGGAAAATAGATAGGTAACAAATGTTTTTTTGAAAGAGTGAGTGGCTTAATGTTATAAATTTTATATGGGGGTGGGAGGGTGTTAGCCTCCATTTCCTTTGGTGTCTATTCAGCAGTTCTAAGTTAGGCTCCACCCCCCTCCCACCAAATCACTATTAATTTGTTTGATTTTTCTGATGAGAACTGTTATATCATTTTATTTTATGGGCAACATGTCTATTTTAGAGAATAGTAAGTAACAAATATCCAAGTATATAAAGTTTGCTATGCTTTAGCATCTCTAAATATCCGAATTTACTTTTTTAACCCAAGAATGTAAATGGTGATTTTTTATTGCTAAATAGAAAAAAAGACAGAGGCACTTTTAGCATTTTTCAGTTCGAATAGTAGGCTATTTGCAGCCTCTACTTTTGCTTAGAACATTTGAAAGTTAATATTTTAGTTTTCAAAACCGAGCAGGCTTTGAAACCGGCATGTAGTAAAAACTAGTGCTTAGTTAAGCAAAGTTACTTAGATTTTTTGTTTGTTTTTGTTTTCTAGTTAGTGCTTTAAAATTATCTGATAAAATAGGCATAGAATTCTGTGGGAAAGACACATTAAAAAGATATTCTGTAATCTTTTGACAGTATTAACAAAGAGTGAGTAATTCTTTTGGATAAGAAGCATTTTACTTTATTAAACTTTTTATTTTATTAAGCTGATATATAACAACAGACAAAAATAAAATGTTTGTTACGAATTTCTAGAGTTAGGAGAGATCTCATGAAAGGCAAATCTCTTAATTTACTGATCTTTTCATAAATTTAGTCTATACTTACTTAAGATCTATTAACTTATTTAACAAATATATATTAAGTGCTTACTATGTGCTGCTCATGAGCTAGAGCTGGGAATAAGGCAAAGATCCTGATCTCATAGAACTTACACTTTAGCTAGGAAAAAGGCACTAATAAGTAAGTAAAAATAAAGTAGTTATAAATACTATGAGCAAAATAAATAGGGCTGATGTATTAGACAGTGTGTAAGGGGCTACTTTAGACCTTTGTATTAGACAGTGTGTAAGGGGCTACCTTAGAAGTGTTTAAGGGCTGGCCCGTGGCTCACTGAGGAGAGTGTGGTGCTGAGAACACCAAAGCCCTGGGTTCTGATCCTATATAGGGATGGCGGGTTTGCTCACTGGTTGAGTGTGGTGCTGACAACACCAAATCAAGGGTTAAGATCACCTTACCGGTCATCTTTAAAAAAAAAAAAAAAGGTGATGTTTAAGTTGAGACCTGATTTGGTAAGAGATAGCCTCGTACCCATCTAGGCAGACCATAATGACATGTAGACAGAACAGCTAGTACAGAGGCATAGAGGTGGGAGCAGTCTTTGGCTGTGGCTGGAGCACAGAAAAGGGAGAAATACTAGAAAATTAGGTCATAGAGGCAGACAGGGGCCGCATCACAATGGGCCTTGCCAGCTACCATAGGAAGTAGGAGGGTTTTCAGCTAGAGGTAACATGATCTTATTTATGTTGTATAAAGATCACTCTGGTTGCTGTGTGGAGAGTAGATTATAGGGAGTCAAGAGTGGAAACAGAGAGACTAGTTCATAGACTATTGTAACAGCCCAGAAAACAATGATAGCAGTAATGGTAAAGCAATGATAATTTGCATTAAGGATGTATGTTGAACCTTGATGAGCAACAATTAGATAAGGAGGGTGGGGGAAAGTTGGAATTCTCAGAAGTTAGAATGTCAAAACAGTTCTGTCACTACAATATTATAATTTAAATGACCAATTTTTCTTTGAGCAAGAATGGATAAGAATTTTGTTGGCTGGTTTGTCTTAACTTTTTGCAAAAAGAGGGTTGTCAGATGAAAAAACTTGAACTTTGTTTTTATTTGCTTTTTGGAAAAGTTTTAAGCCATGAAAATAAGCAAGCTTAACAATATTGTGTTATACGTTAGTTTTTATAAAATGATGCATGTGTAATTAACCAAGTGTATTTTCCCTCAGATTAATGTTCTTCAATCAAAAAGGAGATCAGAAATCCTAAAATCAGTAAGCCCATTTATTGAAATGATGTTTTAAATATTTTAATATGAAACCAAGTGTACACGTTTAAATGTTTGACGCGGCATCTGGTATGTACATTCCAGGTTCATAATTGCTTTTACTTCTTTTTGATTTTTATTTGTATTTCTTTTTTAAAAAAATTTTTATTGAATCATAATTGATTATACATAGTTTTGGGGTTCAGTGTTGACATATGTTGATCAAATCAATATTACTAATATATGTATTGTTATAAATTGTACTTATTCTTTATGCTCCTTGTCTAATCTCTCCCCATCCTCCTCCCCCTCCGCACTCCCACCACTGATAACCCTAGATTTCTTCTCTCCCTCTGAAAGAGTAATGGTTACTCTGTTGATTTGTTGCCTAGATTATCTGACCAATGCTGAGAGGTGTGTTCAGGTCCCCCAGTAGTATCATAGAGCAGATGCTTCTTCTGTCACTCTGGAATGGGCTTTGTAGAGAGAAACATCCTCTTCCTTTCTTTGGTCTCTGCTGGTGGCTCTCCTTGTGTCAATGCACTCCAGTGGCTGGTGGACCATCTGCATGGTGGTTGTGATGTCTAGCTACTTTTGCGGCAGTTATGGTTACTGTGGTGGCTGTGGTGGGCCACCCACATGGAGGTGATATTTTTGGCATGTTCCTTGGCACAGGCAGTGTGCCTGGTTGTGGGAGATTCGTTTTGAAATTTAGATTTTGGTTTTTTTTTTTGTCTTTTTCGTGACCGGTAAGGGGATCGCAGCCCTTAGTATGGTGTCGCCCACACTGCGCTCAGCCAGTGAGTGCACCGGTCCTTCCTATATAGGATCTGAACCTGCGGCGGGAGCGTCGCGGTGCTCTCAGCGCCGCACTCTCCCGAGTGCGCCACAGGCTTGGCCCGAAATTTAGATTTTGAATTTACTCTCAGTGGTATTTGCTTTTAAAATTTTTCTGCCCAACCTCTTTCAAGGTATTTACATTTTTCTCTATAATTTTATGTGTTATCTAGACTTTTAAAATATTTGAGATCAAGGACTTACATCATTTGGAGAATTTTCCCATTAGGGTTGATGATGTGTCAGCATTTTGGTTTGTTCTTTGGTGTGCAGTTACAAAATCAGTGGGGTGAAATTTGAGGATCTTCCTTTTTTTTTTTTTTTTTTTTTTTTAAGTGCTGGCTGGTATAGGGATCCAAACCTGTGACCTTGGTGGTACCAGCACCATATTCTTCAAAGTGATCTAACCAGCCAGCCCAAGGATTACGTTTTTTTTTTTTTCCTGAGCCTCTTCACCTATAATGACAGTGACTTTTTGCTTTTTTTTTTTTTTTTTTTGGTCTTTAACAAGAAAGCAGGTAGGAGATGGTGTGGTATGGCATCACACTCTTTCTTATTTTGAGAACCTTGAAATAATTCCTCCTCTCTGAATTTATTTACTGAAGTAATTTTTCCCCCCTGAGACAATAGTTCAATTAATTTAGATCTTGTCCCCACCTAGCTTTTTCCTAAATTTTATGTTTATATTCATGTTATATCTTATCAGGTAAGTACATTGTACTTCCTGTTTTTTAAAAGATACTGTTTATCCCTACCTCATTTTACAGACTAATGGTAATGTGTGTGAATTGTAGAAAATTGGAAAATGTATGAAAAAAAAATAAAAACTATAAATTCTACTACCAAGGGAGAACCACTGTTAATATCTTGGCATATATCTCCATCTTTTTTCTCTGTGTGTGTGTGTGTGTGTGTGTGTGTGTGTGTGTATGTGAACATGAATATGTGCCTTTTAAAATTGCATTTAATTTTTTCAAACAAAATTGGAATAATTCCTACATTATAGGAATAATGTAGGAATAATAATTCAGGAGTAATAATTCCAGGGATAATAATGCCTGGGATTCTTACAAGAGTCATTACAGGAATAATAATTCCTGTTTCATAACATTTTTTTTTTAACTAATACACTTCCAAATCATATGTCGCTAAATATTCTTTATTTAACGATGGCTTTTGTGGCTACATAGAATGCTACCACATGAATAGACTAGGGGTGGACAAACTTTTGTAAAGGGCCAGGTAATAAATATATGGTAGGTTTTAGGTTTTTCAGACTGTGGTCTCTGTTACAGTTACTCAACTGTGCCCTGGTAATGAGAAAGCAGCCATAGACAATACGTAAATGAATGGTCATGGTTGTGTTCTAATAAAACTTTATTTATGGACACAGAAATTTGAATTTCATATAATTTTCATGTGTCATGAAATTCATGTGTCTTCTTTTCATTTTCTTTCAGCCATTTAAAAATACAAAAGCCATTCTTAGCTCATGAGCCATCCAAAAACAGTTGGTGGGGCTAGATATAGTTTGCAGGTTATAGTTTGCTGACCTTGAATATACCATAAATTAACTTCACCCATTAGTGGATATTTAAGTAATTTTTGTGTTTTTGACATTGAAACATAGTATTGTAGTGATTATTATAGTGAATAATCTGATTTTTTTCCTTAGGATAGATTTATAGATGAGGAATTACTTCAAAGGGTTTAAACATTTAAGGCTTTTGGCAAATATTGTCAAATTTCAAGTGTTATACAATATTTCCACTAATTGTGTGTGAGTGAACATTTCTCCACGTTTTATCAGCACTGAGTATGACAATTTCCCCTCCTTCCCCCCAGCTTGATAGGGAAAAAAAGTGATCTCATTATTCAATTTTGCATTTCCTTAATACAAATGAGTTTGAACATTTTTTCCATATTTTTTTTTTTTGCCACTCGTATGCCCTATTTATGCATTTTGTCTGTTTCTCTGTTGGAGTGTGGACTGTTTATTGTTTTCATATTGATCTGTAACATTTCTTACATATTGAGACTGTTAACCTTTTGTCATGTGTGTTTTCCTAGTTTATAATTTCCTTTACTATGCCTATTGTGTGTTTTGATGCATGCATATTTTACATTTATTTTTATGTAGTTCTAGCGGTTAATCTTATCTCCCACCTCCCCCCACTTTTTATGCAATTTAATGATTTTTATTATATTCACAAAGTTGTGCAGCCATCACCATTATCTCATTCCAGAATAACTTTCCTTTTGTGAGTTTTGTCTTTTTGTCTTTGTGTTTTATTTAATTGGTTCTTCTCTTGGAAAAAAATTTTTTTGGGAGGATTCTTGAGTATTAAGGACCTTATGACTTATTTCAGATTTCAGAGAAACAGATGCCACTTCTTGCTAAATATAGCATGGGCATTTAGAAGATTATTTCCATATTATACATTAATTATATAATTCCTCCCTCTGTAAAAACTGAATTAATAAAAACGAGTGATTTTTCTCTCATGAATAGGTAAAATATAGGAGAACTTGGAAAAATCTCAATCCTGTTAATGTTGTTTTTTGGATTTGTGGAATGAATATAAAGAAATATCCATATTGGTAGAGTCTGTTGACTCATTTTGTTTTGTTATCTTGAGAAAAGAAGTGAGCATTCCCCCACTTCCGGTTGTGTTTGGTGATCTAGTAGGCTGTAAAGTGTTTGTGGTTGTTTTGTTTTGAGAGCTTTATATTTCCCCTTATCTTTTTTATGTTTTATTTGCAACTTAAGGCTTGCCAGTGAGTTTGGTTGAAAGAACACAGATATTTTATAATGTACCTAGGAAGATAGGGAAGCTATTGAAAATTTTATTATTTGAATCAACTATGTGAATTTTGATCATTTAGATATAGTCTAAATGACTAAAAGTTTGGGCATTGTTAACAATGTAAACCACTGGGAAATTTCTTTTAAATAACATTTATTCTCATATTTGCAAATATTTCTGAAATACTCTTAAGAAAAATGACTCAGTTTAATTTTAAATAGGATTGACATTTTGGGCTCTTGTCAAATAATTCTTAAACATTGAATGGGATTAGGATTAAAAAACAATTCAGAATATTTATCTAGGAATGGATTTTAAAATGGTAATATTTTCTCCTCTACTAGATGTTATCCTTTATGTATGCTCATTTGGCCTTCTTTCATCAAGGATATGATCTGTTTAGTGAACTTGGGCCCTACATGAAGGATCTTGGAGCACAGGTAATGTTGGACTGTGTTTCTTGATTCTGATTCTGTATTACATACTGAAATTTGTATTTTTAAAGAAATTTATCATTTTGGGAGACTTTTTCATTTACTTAATGAAGAAGTTTGATGCTACAGCAGATTTATGTGGGCAAAATGTATAATGAAAAATGAAATTAAGGGTAAAAATAACCTTATGTTATGAATTGTAAATGTGGTTACTGAAAAGGAGAATTTAAAAATAAGGTGTCTTGTTTATAGTATACATAGCTATCTTTGTTTTTAAATTTCTTACATTTGGATAATTGAGTTGCTGTCCTAATTTGCTTTTCATTTGAGCTATAGCTCTTTTTTTTATTTTTTAAAAATTATATTTTGCTATTTGAGTAATAGAATTTTAAAATCTTAAGTTTGTAGAGCTCCTGGGAACTTTTTCGCTTCACACAGACACATGTGGGGTATCTATGTGTGTGTGTGTGTAAGAATTATAAATAAGAATTTTGTATGTATAGAAATTTTATTATGTTCAAATTATTTTTTATATCTGATTAGAACTTTGTATTATATTTTTTCTGGGGGACATTGTTTTTTATTGATCGATGAGCTTTCTTGATTTAACAGTGTCAAATTTTAGGTGATTCTCTTTCCCAAGATGGTTCAGTTTACTTTCTGAGGAAAGGGATTAAGGATGAAAAATAGTCTAGGGAAATGGGAAAAAGGTAAGAGTGGAATAGGAATTACATTTACTGACCAAAATATATGGGATGTGTGTATGTGTGTGTGTGTGCGTGTGTGTGTTGAGATGGTGTGGAGGAAGGATGGTGCATATGCAATGAATTACACATATTCTGTTTTCTGCCTTTACATATCTAAATCTATTGGAAGAAACCAACAAGTCACCAGACTATTAATCTCTGTGCTAAATACCTGTCTGTGTATATCAGTTGGGATTAGGTTTGCTTTCAATACTAGAAGTAAAAATCTCATAGCTTTAAAGGATTTTATTTCTCCTATATAAGGTCAAAGGCATGGTATGGTGGCCACTTGATAAGAAGGGATCCAGGCTTATTATATCTTTTGATTCTACCTTATGGTTCAAAGTACCTAATCAAACTCTCTCCATCATGCCCAAATTCCAGCTAATAGGAAGGGGGAAAAGGGAAAGAAAGACACATTCCTGTCTTTAAGAACATTTCTTGGAAATTGTATATGTCACTTCTACAAACATACCAATGGCCAGTGCTTAGTCACAAGGTCACACTAGCTGCAAGCTGCAAGGAAACCTGGGAAATAAAACCTTAATGCCAGGTATCCATGTGAATTGCTAGAATTTGGGGGTCAAAGAGGAAGGAGAAAATAGATGTTGGTGGACAGCTATCCTATTTTACCACATGGGGAGGATCATGGTGTTTGTTGTAGGAGTGTATAAATAGGACATCTAACCCAGACTTGGGGGGAAGGCACGACCTTCCTTGGTTCTAGGCATCAAACATTAGATTGCACTCTTGTTTTATATTAAGTATAACTTATAAAAATGATATGAGTTGAATCACAGTTGACTAGTTGAAATAACTATGTTTTTAGACATCTATTAATATAAGTTTTGTGGGGTTTTTTCCTTCCAAATCTTGAATAAATTTGCAGGCCCTTGGAAAGTATCTAAGCCCCAGTGCCTATAGTGCCTAGTAGATAATATAGTCTAGTTGGAAGTGGGTGGTTAGGATTTTTTTTTTAGTAATTCAGTTAGGAGATAATGGCATCAGAAACTAGAGTCATGGCACTAGAGATAAAGACAGATCTGAGGGCTATTTAAGATATAGCCAATTCAAGGGTGGAGAGACATGATGAGTTTAGGTTTAAATGTGTTAATTTTTGAGAATTGGTGTGTAAGTGGATACCTATATCTAGAGCTCAAGAGAGAGACATAGACTAAATGAGCCAATAGCATATAATTGCTAATTGCAACCACAAGAGTGGATGAATTGACCCAGGGAGAGTTAGCTATCTCAAAATCAGAGCTATTTTTTAAAAAATGTAAGAGGGCCGGCCTGTGGCTTACTTGGTAGAGTGTGGTGCTGATAACACCAAGGCCGTGGATTCGGATCCCTATATAGGGATGGCCGGTTAGCTCACTTGGGAGAGCCTGGAGCTGACAACACCAAGTCAAGGGTTAAGATCCCCTTACCAGTCATCTTAAAAAAAAAAAATGTATGTATCTCGACACTGTACTTAAAGATTTTGATTTTGTAAGTTAAGTTGAAGTTCACTAATACTGGGTAAAAAGGGAAGCTGGCTCAGAACAGGGACCCAAGAAGTACCAACTTTTAAGAGATGTTTAGTTAAGAAGAGCTGGGTTACGACATAGATGAGAAAGGGGCTAGAAAATGGAGAGACTGTGGTAAAACAGGCCAAGGAAAGAGTGTCTCAAAAGGAGGGAATGGTTACTGCAAAAGAGGGCTGAGTAAACCAAAAGAAGTAATTATTGGGTTTAGCTGCAAGAAGATTATTTGTTACCTCTGTGAGAGATGCTGTTTCCATGGAGTTGGGGGCCCAAACCACAGAAGCTAGATTACAGTGGGTAGATGAATATGAAATGGGCAAGTGGAGAACATGGTAAGTTTTAAAAGAAATTGTGTTATGAAGGAAAGAGAGAGAAGGTGGTAGCTGGAGAGGAATATGTTTTATTTAAGGTAGTATGATTTGCACAAATTTAAAAGCAGATGGGAGTGGGCCAGTTCCAGAGGGCGAAATTGAAAAGGAGGAAGAGAAGTGATGAATCTGAGGTGGTGGGAGTGGAAGGGATTCAGAGTACAAGGGGATCGGAGATACCTAGCTAGTTACAGCAGCCTATTAAAATTAGTAATGTCCAACACAAACATGGGACACATCCTGCTCTGCTGCAGACTCTCTTCTTGATGTAGTCCCCAGCATCTAGAAGACAGGATAGTACCAGTCTTCATCTTCCCAACTCATGCCTCTCCCACCCCTCACCATGTTGAAAGATTTTTTTTTTCTTTGTACTTCCTCCCCAACAGAGAGTGGAAATTTTCTCTCTTCCACAATAGCAGTGGGGGGGAGATGCAGCAGAGGAGTTTATCACCAATTTGACAACACTTGCACTGCAGTACTTGTGTAAAGTACATGCATACACACACACACACACACACACATATATATAAATATACATGTAATTTTGAATTTGGAAGCTGCCTTATACTGCACTTCAGTCTGAATGACTGATATTTATGTGCTATGCAGTTAGAGGCATAAAACCCATGGTGTAATGGTTATTCCACTCATTCTGCGTAAGCAACTTTTGAGAACATAAATTTTCCTAGTGTAACATGTATCAGCATTACTTATTAAATCAATGTCACTAAGGTATGTATGTGTTAGATCCCAAAAGTAGAGTAGTATAGTTGCCATCTATATCAAATACTTTATCATAGTGATAATTCTGTTTCAGTGTAGGTGTTTTTTTTATTCTTTATTACTGTTCAGTAATATTAAGATTTTGTTATCAGAATTATTTTCCTGTAGAAAAAACATTATCATTTGTGATAGAGGGTGAATAAAGAATCATGTAGTTTTTTAAGAAGTTGGTTTTTTTTTTTTTCGTTTTTTAGTTTTTAAAGGATATCACTTAAAATATTTGGACATTTAATACATATCTTTCTCCATATTCCTGCTTTTTACATTTTTATTTATTCATCTATTAGACATGCATTAATCAGTTGGCGGTTATGGGGGTTGAAAGTTAGAAAGACATACATCACAGTCTGGAGGATGAGATCCACATAATGGTGGATGTTATAACCTAATTGTTTTTATTCTAACATATAGGAGTTCAGGAAGACAGTGCATTTCTCATCACATATTATTGGAATTCAAATTTGTGATAGAAAAGAATATCATCTTTTCTGATACAAAGGAACAGGAAAGAAATGAGATTGTATGATTTCATTATTATTTTTGAGGTTTTAAAAATGAACCTTTAGAATTGGTGATTTTATACCTTGGTCTTATGAATAATTGCTCTTATTTTATTATTATTATTTTTAGATTTCTGTTTTATCTGGTGAATTATTTTTTCTGTCTTTTAGATTTGATTATAATATTAGGAAGCCAGCTTGAAAACATGAAGTATCTTGAGATATTGGAAGTATCTGTTAACAGTGAACTTGTGAGAGCTGGCTGGACTGGTTTAGCTGCACTTATCTTTTGCTATTTGGAAAAAAACCCCATCACTGTTTCTTTTTTATATCTTGGATTACATCTATAAGAATTTGCCAAGTGGGTTGGCAGTTAACTTACCTAGAGTCATTTTCCTTATTCAAGGACTGACCGTGTATCAGTGAGGTGCCCATGACAAGACCTCCTGTCACATATGCTTGACACCGTGACTGTTCTTGGAAATGTTTTCCCTAGAGGAAATATGGACTTTCTCAAAGAGGATTTGATACCAGAAAAAATGTAAACTTTAAAGTTTAGGCAAAATGTTTTTTAAAGTAAACCTGAATTGAGTAACCTATTACTATGTTTATCTGTGAAATGACCTGGAATATGGTTTGAAAAAGTAATCATACCTTTTTTTCTCTGATTTTTAAGTCTACAGTTTTTCTCTTTTTCCTCCTTATAGTTGGATCGACTGGTTGTGGATGCAGCAAAGGAGAAAAGAGAGATGGAGCAAAAACATTCCACCATTCAACAAAAGGTACCTGAGGGGAAATGTTGAAGGGGATTAATTCCCATTTTACCCAATTGTTTATTTGTTTAAGTAAGGTACCATTGTGTTGAAACAAATCCTTTGAGTTGCTTTAATAATTAAATCATGTAGATAAATTCATCCTCTTTTTGTGAAAAGTAAGATGTTTCTCAGATGTTAAGATCTGTTTTGTATATACTTTCAGATCAAAACATTTGAAAGCCATGCTCTTGAACCAGTTTATAAAAATCTTACCTCTTAGGGTCTTGTTTAAGTTAAAAGTGGCCTTTACTTAGAATTTAAAACACTATTCATAGTTTCATTCAGGATGCCCCCAGCCCCCCTGTGAGAGAGAGAAGGAGAGAGAGAGAGAGAAAGAGAGAGAGAGACAGACAACACCACCTTGGTAGCAATGTGTGTGTTTGGTCTTTCCACCTGTAGTCACTGTAAGGCAGCATTCTCCCTCTCCCACATGATGCTGAAACTTCACTTGCGTTGCTTGTTTAATTACTTAAGCCTCGCTGAACTAATTTTTGAAAAATATGTTTTTAAAAATGAAAATTCAGATATTAAACCTGTTTTTAATTTCTTCATGCCGAAAGAGTTGAGTGTGACATGCCTAAAACTCAACCTTACAATATTTTATCTTACATAATCAGTGATATTTTTTGTGTAGTAATCTGAAAATAAAAGGAGAGAGCTGGAGGTTGAATGCAATAATACAAGCATGTGACAGAGTGCATTCTGGCATTGCTTTAAGGAATCTTTTCTCTTAGTATTGATTAGTCAAATCAAGTTTTGTTATGGTTTACTTAGAATTTAAAATATCTGACCATAGGAGTTGTTAATGGAAAAAAACGAAAGCAAAATCTGTAAGAAAAGTAAGAAAAATTTAATTGGTGATGGATTATTAATGCTGAAAGAGAAACAGTATTTAAGAAAGGAAATATTTTCTACCAGACCGTCTTTAAGCTAGTTATTTCCTAGTTAGTGTCAAGTGAGACTAACTCCATATTTTTGCTTTGTTTGAAGTTAGATTAACTTTTGGTTGAGTAACTTTTTTTTTTAATTGACAAATAAAATTTGTATATATTTAGGGTGTATATGGTATTTTGATGGGTAACTAGTTTTAATGACATTACTATGAAAAGATTATTAAAAATTGGGACCCAAAACTATGCTGTCTACCCTAAGTGAATCATTGTGCCCTGTATGCATGTATTGAAATAACACACTGTACCCCACAAATTCCGACAAGTAAATGTTAAAATAAAAAGAGATCATGATATTTATAGAAATATATGAATATTTGCTTAAATTTTATTATTTCATAAATATTGTGCATCTTTTAATATCTTTTCCTATTATGTACACAGTTCAATGTTGTACTTAGGTCTAAAACAGGTAAATTATTAAATCTGAAATGAATTTATTTCATTTTACACAATACTTAACTTTTTTTTTTTAAAGAAAATAATGCTATTTTTGCTTATTATGAATACTCACCTTTTTTTCTACTGTTAAATGCTGACACAAGGCTGCACTACAGGTAAAAAAAAAAAAAAAAAAAAAAAAAAAATCCAGTCACCTAAAAATTAAGGGAAATGTGTCTAACGTAACTATTTAGATTTTTCAAGAATTGAAATCGATCAGTTGGAGAAACAGTGATGCTATGAACATTCATATACATGCCTTCAGAAATGTGTATACATTTCTGATGGATTTATACCTAGGAGTAAAATTGCTGGGTCAGAGGGTGTATATATGTTCAGCATTAGTTTTTTTTTTTTTCCTTTTTTTGTCTTTTTACGTGACCGGCAATGGATCGCAACCCTCAGTGTCGCGCCCGTACCGGACCGGGACCAGCAACGGGATCGCAACCCTCGGTGTTGCGCTCGCACCTCGCTCAGCCAGTGAGTGGCCGGTCTGTATGTGGGATCCGAACCCTCGGCGGGAGCGCCGCTGCGCTCTCAAGTGGCGCACTGTAGCAGTGCGCCACCAGGCCGGCCCCCAGCATTAGTTGATAATGCTAAATTGTTTTTTAAAATGTTATGCCATTCCCAGCAGGCAGCATTTGTGAGAGTACCCATTGTTTCTTGCGACCTCACTGTATTGTGAGTTTTACATTTTTGCCAATTTGGTGTGTAGATATTGACATCTTGTAGTTTTAATTTATACTTCTTTAGTGACTAATGAACACAAGTACCTTATTTTATATCTACTGGTTATTTAGGTGTCCTATTTATGAAAGTTTATTAACCTTTCTCCCATTTTTCCATCCAGTTACATGTTGGTCAAATTCTTTATATATTCTGGATATAAGGCCCTTTTTAGGATATATGTGTTTTAAATTTTCCTGTAGTTTATTTTATTAGTCTTATATTTGATGCTTTTTGTGTCTCATTCAGTAAATCATTTACAGCTCAAGATCATGAAAATATCCTCTGTATAGATTTGCTTTTCATGTTTAGATCTTTAATCCATCTGTATTGGGTTTTTGTGTGTGGTGTGAGGTAGAGATCTAATTTCCTTTTATTCTCCCATTGGTAGCTAGTTGATCCAGACCAGTTATTAAAAAGTTTGCTCTTTCCCCACTGCACTGTGTTGTATCTTGTGTTACACATCACATTTTCATATATGTGAAGCCGGTTTCAGGCTCTCTATTCTGTTCCATTGGGCTTTTTTGTCTTAATTGTGCCAGTTTATGCTGTCTTAATTGTTTTTAGCTTTGTAGTAAATCTTGATTATCTGATAAAGCAAAGCTCCCTACCTTCTCTTCTTCAAAAGTAAATTGCCTAGTTTTGCATTTTCATATAAATTTCAGGAGCAGCTTCTCAGGTTTCACACAAAGAGCTTTTGGGATTTTGATTGGGATTACATTAGGTCTATGAATCAATTTGGGAGGAAGTAACATATCTTTATAATATCTAATTCATGAACTTGGTACATTCTCCATTTATTTATGTTTTCTTTAATGATCTTCATAAAGTTTTATGGTTTTCTTTTATATCTTTTGTTAGATTTATTCCCAGACAGTTATATTAAAATGTAACATAAATGTTATCTTTTATTAAAGTTTTATTTTTCTCATTGTTTTCTTCTGTTACATTACAATAAAATTGATTTTTCTGTGTTGATTTTGTAACTGGTAATCTTGTTAAGCTCTCTTAATACTGATTTATCTCTGGATTCTTTTGGATGTTCTGTGTACAAAGTCTTATCATTCATAAATAATGATAGTTTGTTTTCCTTCCCAATTTAAAATTTTTTTGTGTGTTATCTTTCTGGCTAGGACCTCCATAATAATCTTGAATGGATGTGGTAATGATGGTCTTTCTTGTCTTACTTGCAGTTTCAAAGGGAAAGCTTCTATTAGATTCCATTCATTGACCAACCTTGGTTTTGCCTTCTATTCCCTGGGCCCCATACTTAAAGCTCAAGTCCTCCTGGTGGGCAAATGCCCTTCAGGTGAAAGCTGGATTTCTTGCTCAGCTTACCTCTTGGGCTTCCAATTTTCACTTAATGTTTTTTGCCTTTGTGTATTCCTTCCTAATTTGTTAGATCATCAACACGTTTAAAGAGATTCTTTTTTTTTTGGTCTTTTTTCGTGTCCGGCAACGGATCACAACCCTCAGTGTCGCGCCCGTACTGGACCGGGACCGGCAACGGGATCGCAACCCTCGGTGTTGCGCCCGCACCTCGCTCAGCCAGTGAGCGGGAACCGGTCTGTATGTGGGATCCGAACCCTCGGCAGGAGCGCCACCGCACTCCCAAGCGGTGCACTGTAGCAGTGCGCCACCGGGCCGGCCCAAGAGATTCTAACAGTATATATTTTATCCAACATTATTAGTTGTTAATGTTATGTTCTGTCATATTTTAGGTACTGTAAAATATTAATTGATATTAATAGTAATTAAATTGAAGACTTAATTTATCTCAAGAAATGTAGTTGAAAATTAGACAAAAACTGCACTTTCAAGGAAGTCTTACTTTATGTTTTAAGCAGCATCAAGGTTATTAAAAGACTGCAAATGTTACAAATGAAACCTTAGAATGTTACCAAAATCAATTGTGTGTGTTGCTCACTTAATCCTGAGTGCATGATTAAATAAATTATAGCCTCAAATAAATTTTAAATGAGGGAACTAAAGTTTGCCTGATTTTTTTTTCCCCTAAGAAAGAGTAGGAAGATATGTAGCAATTCGTTTAAGATTTTACTTCTTTTGATTATTTTGAATTATCATGTCTTTTTATGGTTAAAGTTTGAAAGGTATCAGTAGAAGTTTTTCTGTTTTTGTTTTAATTCTGAATTCAGTCCATTTCTTTTCCCCATCTTAGTAGACTCTTAGGTTTGGAAGGCCCTTAGGTGGTTCTCACCCTCCAATGTTGACAGACCCCCACATCTTAGCATTCTCACCAGATGGTCATCCAGCCTCTCCCAAAATGTTTTTTTTTTTTTGTCCTTTTTGAGACCGGCCGCACCGCGCTCAGCCACTGAGCGCACTGGCCATCCCTATATAGGATCCGAACCTGCAGCGGGAGCGCTGCTGCGCTCCCAGCGCCGCACTCTCCCGAGTGCACCATGGGCTCGGCCCTCCCAAAATATTTTGACAGGAATTTTACTATTCCCGAAGAGGGTGGTAATCTAATTTTAATCATTAGTCCAGGAGTAATTTTGAAAGGTGTGAGACTGATTTTTAGAGTTCTAAATTTGTTGTTAACACCAATCTTGCAGTTTTATTCAAAATTTTTGGAAGTTTGTTAAGAAATATTTTAAATATTGGATTTCTGATTTCCAAACTTCACGAAACCTTATAGGATAATTGGTAGTTTGAATTGCATTCAAGTGCATTCCTATCAAGAATGATAGGAAAAGACTATGAGTGATTCCATAGTCCTCACAAAAAAGGGAGCTCAACCTGCCCACTTCAAACTGTAGACTAAACTCCTTCTCCTTTACAAAACTAAATTTTATTTTAGGAAAAAAATGCCTTATGTCCTTTATCCTAATTCTGAACTTCTGAACTCCTATCTGATTCAAAAACTAGCATAGTAGTAAATATGTAAAAAAAATAGTCGTAGACCTAAATAATCCCAATGAAATATCATATGCCTTTTAAAACAATGAACACACATCACCATAAAATATTGGGATAAAACAATAACATTTTGAACATAACACCTTGTGTAATATTTAATTGTTCCCTTTGTCTATTTGTATACATATTATTTTATACTTTTAATCTTGGTGTATGTACGTTTTATATTGTTTTCTCTTTTACGGTATATTCTATATAATCATCTGTGTTTTTAAATCATCATTATGAAAAGTATTGCATAATAGTCAACTGAATTGAAATAACTTTAGTATGTTGAAGCATTCCTCTATTTTTGATCATTTAGAGCCCTCTCTCCCTTTCCTGTGACTGTTGTTGTAACTGTCTTAATACAAAGCTTTTTTTCATTTTGAACTCTTTCCCTAGGATAAATTTGTTGTCTAGGGAACTTAGTGAAGTCATATGAACTTTTTATGTGTTATTTTATTTAGGATTTCTCCAGTGATGATTCTAAGTTAGAATATAATGTAGATGCTGCAAATGGCATTGTAATGGAAGGATATCTGTTCAAACGAGCCAGCAATGCCTTCAAAACTTGGAACAGGTAATATATTTCAAATACTAGTTTTGATCTTTCCACATTCACAGTTTTCTGACTTTTCCTGTGATTTGGCAACTCTTTTCCTTCATAATTCTCTAAATTCTGTAAACTCCACAGAAAGTTTCCTGAACCTATTTATTCAATTAAAGATGCTGTTAGAAACAAGTGAAAAATGAAAACATTAATTCTAAATCCTAAAATTTAAGCAAGGTTTAAGTGAGGAAGCAAGGAGAATTTTTATAATGCTTGATCTATAGTGACGAGATCATTACAATAGATACATTTTGACCATGAGCTACCTTCCATATTTGTTATAAAGTAGATTTGATGACAAATTCTGTATTAAATGTAATGGATAAATAGGCCAAGTGAGCTTTTGTTTATTCTTTTGGTTCCTCTGCTATCTGATGTTTATGTACATTTTTACTTGGTGTTTCTTTATGAATTTTAAACTAGGTGATCCTGATCTTTTGATCTTTGCAGTAACTTTAATTAACTGAGAGTTTTAGGAAATGGGATATTTTTTATATGTGAAGTTGTGGCAACTGGTGCTTCTTTATTCTAAACTTGATGTTCACCAAAAACTGAAATTTTGCTAAACTAATTTCTACAAAATATAAATCCAGTAAATATCTATTAAGAGAATAAATGAATAAAATATTTTCTCATGTATTAATATAATAAAATGAAATAATTTTAGATATTAAAGCACCCAAAAAAAGATAGTCTCAGGATCATCCTTCTGAATAGCAGTCATTAATCTTCTATTCAAGGATGCCTCTCTTTTTGCCAAAAAAAAGGTAGAACAATTCTGTAATAATTTAGTGTTTGGGTTCTGGTTAATTGATTTACTATTATATTATTGGTTGAAATGTGTATATCTTATTGCTTGAACAGGCTATGAATTCACCTAATGATAGAGGAGGTTGTTTTTGTTTTTAAAAAAATGGAAACTAGCAAAATAAATAGAATTTTCTTGGTAAGTTTAATTTTGTATACATTTTTGTTAATTTAGATAGATATGTTTAATGCTTTCTGAAGTGAGTTTCTAATACACTTATTTTGATTTTTTGATGTTGAAGTTATATAGAAAAAACATTAACATTTTCAAATGTCAATGTTTTATTGAGCATTTTTCTAGCATTTGATATTGCCAAATGTCTAAACGGTACATGGTTTGTTTTATTTCAAATAGTTTTTCTTTCTTTACCTGAGAGTGAATATAAACTGGCAAGAATAATGATTATATTTGATATTAAGTCTCTTTGAGTTATAACTTTTAAAATAATACATGAAAATGGTAGGACCAACTAAAGTAATCTGGTTAGAAATATGTTTCTAACTAAAAGTGAAAATGAAAAATTAAAATTATGCTTTCTAAATTCTAAAAATTAGGACCATAATCTTTTAAGTCTTTTCTGGCAAATTTTTTTTTTTCCTTTTTGTCTTTTTCCGTGTCCGGCAACGGATCGCAACCCTCAGTGTCACCCCCGTACCGGACCG